CTCGAAATGGTCTCGATGGAACCACCCCATGAGAGATAGACCATGCAGGAGGTGTTTAGAGGGAACACAACCAGGGCAGAATTGAGAGAGCAGCGAAGGAAAGAAAGACAAGATGAGCTAGGAGTTTGTCGGATCAGAAGGATTGAAGAGGACCAAAATGCACAAACTCTTGGCTCTGGCTTCGTGGTTAAGGATTTGTCAATAATTGGAGGCGTTCGTTGCCCTTATTGTCTGATATCAAGTGACAAAGTCTTTCCCAATGACTGTAACATAGAAAGTTATTACTTGGACTTTAGGAAGCTAGATGCACAGAAGTTGAAAACAATTGAGTTAAAAGACATTGCTAGGGATACCCACATTAATAGATTTTCTGGCCTTGTTGTAATTCCCATCAACCCTTCCGAGAAATGCAACAAAAAGCAAAGCATTTTTACTTATCGACCATTCAAAGTTACCAGCGAAGGAGTTCAACCAAATGAGGACTTACGGTGTCATTTTGTAGACGATGGGCAGACAATATTTTCTGTGAGAGGGCTAACGCTGAGACGATCAGAGACCATTCCTGTGTACCAACTCCATGAAGCCCTTGAACGTCCTTACAGAACCTATGATGAAGTTACTGGTAGAGGGGATCGTAAGCCCTATGGTGCTGCCATCTTAAAGCATAGTAACAATGAATTTATGGTTGCTGGGGCCCTGACCTTTAGAGATAATGATTGGCGAGACATATCTCCTGTGTTTTTCACACCAGGTAAGTGTATATTAAAATTGCTAAAATTGTCAGATTCATTCAATTTACGATAAAATAGTTGCCTGGCCTAATAACACTGAAACAATAGAACAGCCAAAATGGGGGAATGTCATAATCTAATTAACACTAGACAGGCTTGTCTCATAACTTTAATTAAATGTTATTACATTTGGGATGTTAGTTAACAAGAGGTCGTCAGTTTATTTGTTGTGCCCTATTAATTTGGGTCATTCACCAGTGAATTTGAGTCCTCTCATTGAGTTACAAGTACAATACTTGAAAGACTTCTAAAAGCATGAGTCCTTAATCCTGTCTGGTGGCATCACCACCCTAAATGATTGGCTGTAGGCAGCTTTCACAGATTATGCCTGCATTATTTTGAGCAAAATATTATATCTGGAGCATGGCAGGCATTATGCCACCATGAAACTTTATTTTTGATCATAATCAAATGCAATGTCAACTAGAAATCAAAAATAAAGTTGATAAAAGTGTCAGAATTTAGGAACTGAATTGGAACTGCAAGATGACCCTTAGGGACTCCTCAGTCAGTGAATTTAGCCATAGTCGAAGGTCTGGTCACCTCATTATACCAGGTTCGGAGGCACTGTTTTTTGTGAATAATGGTGGAATCAGATTCTGTTACTTTCACTCATCACAAATATGCAAGTTTACCTGAATGTATTATTGTCTAATATTTTGTTTTCAAAAATAATATATATGCTGACACACATGAGGGGACAATTGCCCACAACTAGTCCCCACAACTTGCCCCTAAAAACTCTTCAAACATGTGGACTGTTCGTGAAACAAGTTCCTGTGATCAAAAACCAATCACAGATTCATGTGACAAGCTTCCATAATTCCTAATGAAGTTTTATTCAAGATGGTAGCTCACGGCTTGTCTCAGGTCACACAATGCAGATGTTGAAGAAGCAGCTTGGAGTGTCACATTTACATGTATGTCAGAGATCTTGATCAGATATTCACCCCTTTTTGCTTCTGTATTGGTTGTTTTCAGATTGGTAAAACAAAGACATTATTTTCTGTTATCTGGATATCGGAAAAAAAAACAGACACTGAATAATTCAGCTGGATAATTTTCTGTTTTATTACACTGATTGTATTTTAATGCTACATTGTTAATTTAAAAATTTTGGTTTCATTCTGGGAAAGTTGAGTAAAAGAATGTTACCTTGTGCCCCTAGTTTTTTTTCCATGTTCCTGTACACTAAGTCCCTTCATGTAAACACAACAAGGGACTAGTCCATGCAACCAGTCCCTGTCGCAGGGTCTTGTGGGTGTTGCCCTTGTAAAATAAGTACCGGGATCTTGGCAAGATTCCACCGCGATCTCAGCGGGAATCCCGCCAGGATCCCGGTAAGATTTTGGCCGCCAGGACGTTCATTTCTGGCAGGAATTCTGGTGGGATCCCGGCAGGATCCCGGCAAGATTTTCGCCGGGAAACAAAAATCCAGGCAGCCAAAATTTTGCTGGGATCCTACCGTTAATCTCACCAAGATTCTTGCTGGGATGCAAAAATCCCAGTGGCCAAAATCTTGCCGGGATGCTACTGCGAATCTCACCAAGATTCTTGCCGGGAAGCAAAAATCCCGGCAGCCAAAATCTCCCCAGGGTCCTACCACGCAAATCTCACCAAGATTCTCGCCGAGAAGCAAATTCCTGGCGGGCAAAATCTCGACGCGATCTTGCCTGGAATCTCACCAATATTTGCAGCGGGAAGCAAAATTCTTGGTGAGATTCACTGTGGGGATCTCAGCAACATTTTGGACATGCTGCCACAAATTTCTTTTGGAGCCCTCGTCCTTTAAATAAAGGTTAAAGCTTCCTGGTGTTTACGTGCTTGAGAGTGGTTAAAATACAGACAAAACAAACTTAAGTAAGAAACGTACACATATAGCCGTACGGCGGTTCAATTTAATACTGCTTGAATATGTTTTTAAAGATGTCAGTGACACAGAAAAACGGTGGTAACGATTTAAGGAGAAGAAATTCTGGCAAAATTCATGGTGCAAAGTTTGAAGTTTAAAAACAGCTGGATAGTGAGAAAAACAGACCGGCTGAATGACCCTACTCAAAACAACACGGTTTAATTAATTTAAGTAACAGAAAATTTAGTCACAGTTGTTTGGTTCGCAAAGAGATAAAACGCCTAAGCTGATGCACACAAATTGGCATGAGACTCTTTATGCTTAAATGAAATGCGAATGCGAATATTCTTGTGCCCACGTTAACACTTTGCGATATTCACACGTAACAACATTTTTAGTAAAAGAAAATCATTACTGAAATAACGAAAGAGAAACTAACCTTTTAGTCAAAGCGAAGAAGAAGATAACATGATCTACCAAACTTTATCTGTTGAAGCCATGAAGAAGCAAATTTGCATTCGTAGTTTTCATGAATGACATTTCAAGCCACCTCAAGTCAAAGCTTAGTCCGATAACAATCATTGCCTTTTTATGAGTGGTAACAAGTACAATTTCACCCCAGTGTGAATGGCTTTCGTTAAAAATTTTTATCTTCATCCGAAGTTCAGGTTTTGGAGTTTGTTAAAAATTGTTTAGCATACACAGTTCCATCGAGGCTACCTTGAAGCTTTCTTCATGAAATTCCTCGCACAACATCCACGGTTTGACACTTGCACAGCTGGTACGCAATTTACAACAACTTCAACAAAGCAGCTTTTCCCTGCAGAAAGGTCCTTTCTGAAGCTTCAAAGTAAATTCTATCTATGGGCTTCAAATTAAAATCATGCAGAGAAGCTTGTTCACACACGAAAGGCAACAAAAATCTTTTTTTTCATCTTTAAACTATAAAGCACGTTAGAGCACTCGGGTAGTTGTCGCCATTAAAAGTTCCAGTTTGTCTAGATGCGATCAGCATGTTTAATTAAATCAACACGTCTTCACGGCTCGTACTTTAAGACTGAGCCGTAATAAAATATTAGTATAGGTAATCGTATGGTTTCGAGTTCAATTTGGAATTAATTTGCATGGGTGAGTTTTTCAAAAACCTGTTGCAAATTGATTCCAAATTGAACTAGAAAAACCGTACGATTCTTTATTAATAATATAAACATGAAAAAATTCGCGTGGAAAAAGTGCCGGAAAATCTTTCTTGAAGCCATTTTTTCTCATTCGAGAAAACTTTCAAAGTTTCTGAACACAATTTTTATCATCATTTTAGGTTATATCATTGGCTTAGAAAATTTCCTATTGTCTTTCAGCCAATCAAAATCCAGAATTATGATGTGTAATTTGCACTGGTGTTACTTTTTTTGCACTGGTGTTACACTTAAACTGCACTGCTCTCAGCCAATCAGAATCAAGTAATTTTCATATTTATTATTAAAACTTTAACTGGATATGGCCCACAAAAGGTTTAGAGTGGCATTTGCTTCAAGGGTCAACCTTGAAGTAGTTTATCTCAAGTTCTCAAATTCATTAATTATTCATGTGCTGATGACCCAATCAGCTTGCATTAATTGGGTCAGGTGCCTGTATTTTGATACTCAATGAACATACCGATCAAGACACATTAAATTAGTTCAAAAACTGATCAAGACACTGATTAAGAAACTTGAATTTTAATCAGTCTTAATGCTAAATACAGTATACTTGCCGCTTCAATCATTACTTACAACAACAATACGGCAAGATATTATTCTTTCTTAGACACCGTTACATTAATTGTACAGTTTTTGAATTTTCCTTTGTGGAAAACAGCATCCTTAAAAGCAATAGATTTGTCTTGTTTTTCTGTGGTAGAACATGAAACTGTACTAACACTTGGACCTAGGATCTTTGAAACTTTAGAAACATTTTCTTCCGTAGGCTTTTTGTACTGAAACAATGCATTAGAACAATAACCTGACATTTCGCGAATCAATTTTTCTTCCATCCCAGCATTGAACAGGGAGGAAACACAGGTAACG